CCGATTGATAGGTGCGCTACCTTCATTTAGATTCTACGGTGCAAACTTACACTATGTTTCAACTTTTTCTTAGTACCTACTTGGTAACCATATAACCCCTAAACCATATAACCCATTTTATACGACATCAAACTCTTTTGTTCGAAAATTTAAGTTTGCATCTGCTGAAGTTAAGCCCACTTTGTTAATTGCCTATTGCTCTTCAATGTACTGTGCTCAACTGTGGTCACAATACAAACTGGGTACAATTCATAAACTACGAGTAGCATACAACAATGCTTTTAGAATTTTGTTTGATTACGGTAAATAAGAAAGTGCTAGTCATATGTTTGTAAAAGCTGCAGTTGACACTTTTGAAGCCCGAAGGAGAATATTAACTCACTTTTTTGTCTCACGAATTCTCAGCTCAAACAATGGTTTCATAAAACTAGTAATTGATTCTGTTTTAGTCTCCCTCATCAGCAACTTTTGGAAGAACTATGTCAATCTAGTATAATTTGAACAGTTCTCACATTAGATTTCGTCTCCGTTGTATTTGCGTTTACTGTACATAACTGTATTATGTATTTAGCCTTATCTTTGTGTACCTGAATTTTTAATTTATGTATTGACATGGGCACTTTGCCTGGATCAAAAAAATGAATTGAATATTCATTCAGCCTGAAAAGGAGTCTGATGCTAGTATTCCACAGAAATCGGGTCCATCTATTACCTTTCAAAAATGATATGGCAATTCTAAACTTAATATCTTACTCTGAGGATCTCCGTCAGTAACTTATGATGACAATGACTACTACTAAAACAAGTTTTACAAAGTACGGCTCCGGACCATTCAATTGTCCCGTCTTCTTTCCGCTGAATATGAGGAGTGCTCCGAAATCATGTAACAAAACGATCCCAATGACAGTTCAAAGAAGCGATCATAATGACTTTTTTGTCATTTTTGATATTGAGGGAAGGGCCAAGTAATTTCTAAGCAAGGGGGAGGCGATGTAAACATTTTCGGAGCCGATGGGCGGGAGGACCTTCTCATTTTTCGCTAGATCCCAAGGTCAGGGCAGCTGCCCTCCCCCGTTAAATACTGTACAGTCCCTAACGAGAGAATAGTCCATGATGCTGCTCAGGTGGTGGGAGGTGGGCGGAAAGTAGTTATGACATAATTTTGAGGAATACTACTTTAGGTCCCTACATTACGTATTGCTATTTTACATTACATTACATAATATAGCATTGAATAAAGATCAACTTGATGAACTGTCCACTGATGACAATTACAATGCTTTAACGTGTCTTCTTTTAGGCACAGTGTTTACGCTAGTCAATGGCCTTCCGGAATTCCAAGAATTTAAACGTGGAGATCTAAATGGACCAAACCAGAACAAAAACCGACAGTGGCTGACCGAAGTACTCAGGACAAAAATGTGTGCGTCCGACATCGGCTCAGATACACAAACAAGCTTTGATCTTTTTTTGGTATCAGTTAAAATCGTTAAAAGGGAATTTATGATCAACATAAATTTACTTTTTCGGGGCCCAATCATTTTAGACCGGATTTACTATTCAGTCACGTAGGAACGTACCAAAATGTAATGCAATTAAAAGATGTTCTTTGAATTCATTAATTTCAGAAACAATTTTCGTATTTCATTACAAATTAAGTCTTGATGATAGAAAATTAAAATTCTATTTGATTTACCTGCGAACCATACCATGCGTACAATAGCTGTGGTTGCTGTCTTGAATTTCTGCAGCACTTGTGAGCAGACAGAAAGGAAGTGGCCCGTCATGGGCCGCTTCTGTAGTCCTGCCGGACATTTTGATTTTCGCCGGGCAGATGCACTTGCAGATGACGCGGTCTCTACTGAAACGCCTGACGGAGTAACCACCATCTTGGACCGCACTCGGTTTACCTGGTACTAAGTATTACTGGTCTCTACGTGAAAACGTCAACAATTTAATTGTCTGGAGAGTGGATATGGTATTTTACATGTAACTCCCGCTCAAAGCACTCCGGAATTTTCTCGTTTACAGTATGCCGTGAGTGCTTCATGCATATACAATAGCTCCAGTACAATGTAGCATTTGAGCTAGGGGAAAATGTTGTTGGATTGGACCCTCTTGTAGCTTTTCTGGATCTACGTACAGACTCGTTTTGTTCTAATTATAGATTCTTTATTGACACAACAAAAAAGTACAGGGGCTTTTGTATGGTCTTCTACAACTTATATAATAACAAAAGGTCAAGCGAAGCTAAATACATGCGTGGATAACGTCATCTTATGTACAGAGTATATGTATGCTGTAACAATAAAGGTTTAACTATTCTCTAACATGTGGTCTCTAAGATCGAAACATATGTATTTTCCTGTTTGAACACTTTGAACAAAGTATTGGTAATCTCCCCTGAAAATGTAGTTGAATTTATCTATAGGATCTAACGTATTGAAATCAATTGAACAAGCGGGAAAAAAAAAGGTGAACAGCAATAGGCGCAAGATCGGTGGCATGTCAGGACTAGAACCCGGGACCTCTTGGTTCAGAGTCGAGCACTCTGCTATTACACCACACGACCCCACATTTAGGTTTTTCACGCCAAAGTCGTATATAAGATGTAACAAGGAATAAACTGTATTGTGTGTCACAAAAGATATATGATTTTAGAATGTATCGTGAAGTCTTTCATGTTCGTTTATAAATTATACTACTTAACTGCGTTCAGGTAATCCGGCTGCAGTTAAAGCCTACTAGGTCCCACCCACAGTACGTGCTTCTGCGTGCTGTCTACGTGCAAAGACGTGGGCAAACGTAGGGCACCCGTGCGTGGTGAGTACCACCTCCGTACGGAATCCTACGGACTTGGGAGCACGCAGACACGCCGTAGAACCTGAAGTGCATGTAAAACGTTTTCTACGTTCGGTCTGCGGATTCACCACCACGCGCTTGCCCCATACATACCGTACGTCAGACGAACATGTGAGTACGACCTTCTTACGGTAAAGTTGCAATCGCACAGAGATCGTAAGCACGTACAACTCTCTTACCACTTGTAAGTAAGTTGTGTAACTTACCACTCGCAACGTACGATGCACGCAACCGCTCACGGTCAGACGTGGCGTGCAGACCCCACTCTTACACCTTTTATTTATTTATTCATTCCAAAATGTAATCACCAGACGTGGTGACGGCACACTCAAGTTTGTCAACTTATATTAATGCCGCCACCAACACAGGGGACAAATACATGACAGGACAGTATTCATTTTCACCTGAGTTAAGTGAGGAAAGTCGCCTAACGTGCCTTTACCAAGGGCACAAGATGTCAGGACTCGAACCCGGAACCTCTATTTTCCGAGTCGCGCACTCTGCCGCTACGCCACACTCTTACACCTTGCGCAACCGTGCGCAACTGTGCGAGTGACGTGCGTCGACTCCACTCCTTCCCCGCGTTTCCAGAAAAAAAACGTATCCTCCCAAAAATGTACGAACCAAAAGCATGTACGACGGGTTGTGACCGAGGCTTAAGTTAATCTCCGCAGGGCGTTATATAAAAAGGGGGGTCACGCAAAAAAAACGATATCAAATATCGTTTTCTTCATTTTTTTTCCAAGTGTGTTTTTTGGTTCATTTTGGTTTTTCTGATGCACAAAAGCCATCATGCCATCAATCAATAGTGTTATGATTCTTGAAGCCCCGGTCACAACCCACCGTTCGTGCTTTTTGTGCGTACGTTTTCTTGGGAGGCCACGTCTACTACGTTTTTCTGAAAACGTGGAGAAGGAGTGGCGTCAACGCACGACGCTCGCACGGTTGCGCAAGGTGTAAGAGTGTGGTCTGCACGCCACGTCTGGCCGTGAGCGGTTGCATGCATCGTTTGTTGCGCAAGTGGTGAGTTGTACGTGCTTACAACGTACGATCTCTGTGCGATTACAACTTTACGGTAAGGAGGCCGTACTCACACGTGCTTCCTACATACGGTACGAACGGGGCACGCGCATCGCGGGTATTCGCACGTACGGGTGGTGAATCCGCATAATGCACGCAGAAAAAGTTTTTCACGCACTTAAAGTTCTACGGCGTGTCTGCGTGCTCCCAAATCCGTAGCATTCCGTACGTACTAACAACGTACGTTTGCCCACGTTTTTGCACGTAGACAGCACGCAGAAGCACGTACGGCGGGTTGTGACCGTCGCTTTACGGATCCCCGACGTTTGCCCACGTTTTTGCACGTAGACAGCACGCAGAAGCACGTACGGCGGGTTGTGACCGAGGCTTTAACCAGCAAAGTCGATATTAGTCTCAATCAAATTCGTACGTACAACCCCACAAGAAAAGGTGCCTGATGCAATGTTTTTAAATTATATATCAGATAATGAATAAAATTAGGAATCCATGTCTTATTTTACTTTATTTTTACACTTTAACATGCAGCTCTGAAAGCAGTGTCATTTCCTAACAGTGTAGCTACAATAAAAAGGAGAATTTTCACCAAACCCTTGTCTTCATAACAATTTTGTTTTCTTTCATATAGACTGTTGTAAGCAATATGTGGTAGATCATGCGCCTTACGGCTATTTACATGAGAATGCTTCTGTTCTTCTGTTATTTCGTAGCCGTTAAGCAGTCTGGTAAAAAAAAAACGTGGCTCGTCAATACTTCCCTGAGAATGCTTTTATCATTTCAATACTGTCAAGTAACATTTTGTAAAGCAACCAGCTCGTGAATTTTTCTTTCCTGGGAATGCTTTCATTATTTTACGCCGCCGCCGTTTGGGACGTGCTGATTGGTCAACGTTTGTCCCTGGCATAACGAAGACTTAATCAATCAAAACCCGAGACAAGCTGTGAATTTGGGCCGGGTTAGCTAGAGCGCTCCGGCGCCACGGCAGAGAACAGAGCTGCGGTTTGTGCTGTCCAGGCTAACCTACAGGTGTGTGCAAACACTTTGTAGCACCAAAAGGTAAGGGAGATATTGCAATATAATCTTCTGTTGTATTAATGGTTATGGCGATGAAGCTTATGGTAAAAGTCTCGTTCTTGCTGCTTATGCAGCTACTAGTCTCGCGGGTAGACGCCGGTAGCTGGCAGAGCTGCCGTGAAGTGCCCGTGGCGAAGTGTGGTGTAGGTGACAGCGGTAGTGATGGTCGTGAGTACCGGTATGACATTGGAGTGTACCGGTACAAGTGGAACGAGAACCCGTTTGAGGCTTACAGCTACAAAGGTCCCTTTGATACCGTCCCTTTGGGCCAGGCTTTTCAGTCTTGTCAGGTCTGCTCAAACGAAACAAGGCCCACCCAGGGGGGTTCCCCTCCACAATCCATAACCGACATCATGATCGTTGAGAACAAGGTCGGTAAGCTTGGCCCTGACAAAGCAGAGATCCTGTCTCAGATCCCATGTGGTGAAGAATGCAGGCTGTGGTTTGTGGGATGTAACCTAACGACAATAGAGGTAGGGGCGTTTGCTAAGTTGCCACAGGTATCTACCCTGGTCATCTGGCGGAGCAATGTCCAGACTCTGAAGAACGGCACGTTTGCTGGGATGGAGAGCCTCGAGTATCTGCTGCTGTTGGAGAACAGCCTGACACATCTGGAGGTGGGATAGAAAAATCATGCATTCCATAGTATACTCTTCAGCGATTTGTATTGTCAAGTTGAACATTGCTTGTCGCTTATTTTTCATAGCTTGGATGTCACAGCCTTTTACTTAAACTTGTTTACGGTGTCTTAGTCGCTTTTCTGCTAAAAAAGACTGGGCCCGCACATATTTATCCGTCTGTATTGAACATTTCTTCAGAATTTAAGAAGGTGCATTGGTTGGTCAAATCTAAGCGAAATATGGGGACAACCAATCATCAAAGGCCAAGGCATTGTATGTGAAATCATCACTAGATTCGTGGATCCAGTTTTTTTAGCAATGAGGTGATAGAGAAAACGTACTAAAGCTTAAAAGGCTGACATACCGATCAATCGTTTTCATAATGTATAACAAATGGTTCTGATGCAGGGTGGCTGCCTTGATGGGTTGCCCAGGTTGTCAAACATCATCCTTGTGGACAACCAAATCCTGACGATATCGCCTGACGCTTTCCGGGGGTTGCAGCCGCGGTGGGTTGACGTAAGTGCCAATCTTATCGCTAACGTAGCCCCGGGGACCTTCCAGACGATCAAGTCCGTAGTATATGTCCGCGCCGTTGAGAACAAACTTCGGTCGATCGGCGTGGAGATGTTCCACGGGCTTGAGAGGCTGGTTTCCCTGAACCTGCAGGGTAACAGAATCTCCCACATTGCTGCCGGCGCGTTCTACTCAAACACGGAATTGACTACCCTAAATCTTGCAGCAAACAGGCTGACCTTCCTTTCTGGCGGTTGGTTCAAATCGTCCTTTCCAGACAATATCATAGCCCGTGATAATGGTATTGCAGTTACTTTGTCGGAAGGCAGGGCATTGCCATTTACCCGGAGAATCCACATGTCTAACCAGCCGCGCTGCACGTGTGCGAATGATTGGCTTTACGACTACGAGGGGGGCTACATAAAGTTCAAGCAGCGCTTCATGCGTTTACTAAATTTGCCCCCGGGAACCCACAGCTGCCCCGCCTCGGCGCTGATGCGGAACCTCCCCGCGCCAGTCTCTCCCAGTCACACCCTGCCCTGCCCGCCACCAATGGTGGAGATTATGAAGGCCGAACACAACCCTGGATACAAGTACACGGTGGTGGGCAGGGTGTATTGGGAGCAGTTGCCCCAAGTGTCTTGGACCTTCCCTAATGACTCACAACACACACACGACATAACGTACGACGCAAACACGACAACACACGCTACTCTGCCGACAGGCAATCTAACCGTAAGAGTGGTGACCGACCTAAAGGCTGAGGGCTGGGTGAAATGTAAGGGGCCAGCAGATAACCTGATGGGAGACTCAGGAAATCACAGCCTGTGTTCTAACTACATGGCGAGGTCCAGCTTCACCCTTTGGCTTGAGACTACCGGGCCCTTGGCCTTTGGGAACACCACTTGTGCGGTTTCTACAGAAACTGGGTCCGACACTGTTATTTTCATGACAAGTGAAGGCACATACTCTGGCATCACAACACTCCAGGCAACAGAACCCTCACTCATCAACACGACACCATTCTCAACCACCATGAGCACACCACCGGTGCCCATCGGCATCAGCACTACACCACTGACCATCAGTAAAACTGATAATGCTTATGAAGGGGGCATCTGCACATGGAACATAGTGTTGTCATCTATTATCTGGTTACCGGCTGTTGCGGTGGGGCCCGGGGTTTTGTTCTGTGTCAGTTGTATCAAGAACAGGATCGGGCGCAAAGCTCCAGATAACGGCACAGGTTCACCCCCGGCCCACAATGACGATGGTCTTTCAGTTGGCCACCTGGATGATCCAGTAATCAGTCCGTACGCTGAAGGTCGTTTCGAGGATCACGACAGCTTGAATGAGTCAGAATCAGTCATCAGCCCTTACGCTGAAGGTGGTTTCCAAGACCACCCTGACTTGCGCAGGGCCGGTTCTTCTCAGTCAGAAGCCGTTCCGTACGGACAGGCAAAGCTTTGCGCAGCGTACCCAGGCCGCCCCCGCGCGCAGACACACCCCGTGCCGTCCCGCCCGTACAGCGCCGAGCGTCCCCGTCAGACACCAAACAGGGAAGGGGCAGTCGTACCTGGCTATGGTCAAAACGGCAGTGATGAGTCAAGCAAAACCTGCTACCAGCACCCAATCATTCTCCCCAAACCAGGTGCTACCCTGTCCTCTGCCTACCAGCAGAATGCCAGCGCCGCTAAGCGTTCCCGTAAGGCACGTTGCTACAACTCCCCTGCCACTAACACAGAGAGTGCCCTGTCTAACACATATGGCTATGGTCAAAACGGCGGCGATAAGTCAGGCAAAACCTGCTATCAGCATCCATCTATCCTACCCAACCCGGGTGCCACCCTGTCCTCTGCATACCAGCACAAGCAGAATGCCAGCGCCGCTAAGCGTTCCCGTAAGGCACATTGCTACAACTCCCCTGCCGCTAACACAGACCGTACCCTGTCTAACACTTATGGCCAGCATGACACTATTGCGACGGTCTGTAACTCTGTAGCGTCTCCTATGGCCGGTAGCTATGACCCTGCTGCCCCGAGCAGAAGTGAGACGGACACTCCGTCCGCCGTCTATGATGAAACCCACCGCATTCTGCCCGACACAAGCCGGGGAAACAGTTACATCTGCCCCTCCCCTGCGACTGGTGCTGGCCGGTCCCCGGCAGCTGCATACTGCCATTATGAGCGTAGGGAGGCAATAAACAACACCACAGAGTACCCAGAGACAAACAGCTATGAACCGCCTCCTACTGGTGGAATTAGCCAGTGAGTAATCCGCCCCAAAAATATTATGATTTGTTATGCTTCAATGAAGATTGCATCAAATTCCGTACAAAGATGGGATGAAAACTGACCTATTGAAAGGCCACAAAAACAGGCACACAGGACCTTTGTCTTCATTAAAATTGTCCTGGTAATAATTTGTATTTAAAAAAGACCATGTGTATTATTTCTAGAAAATTCTATGCTTTAAAAACATTCAATATTCAAAGAAACATTGAAATATTTTGGAAGAAATTAAAACAAAAATTGGCAATGACTAGTTATGTCCTACCTTGCATAAAATTAAACAGATATAAAGAGTAAAAACTGAAGCATTTTAACTTTTTAATATTACTTGGCCTCTGAGTGTTTTTCCTAAACTGTATCCTAATGGTTCCCAAATGCTTTTTTATTATATACAAATTGTTAACACATGCAGTCAAAGCTAACCGCAAGTTTGTTCAATTACATATTGTTCTACTTTTACCACTTTATGGTATGATCTTCACGTTGTCAACTTATTACCTTGCCATCAATAACTTTACACGTTGTTTCTGTTGTGTGTTTTGTTCTCTTTTGTATTCTATTTCTTTGTCGATTTACTTCGTTTTATTCAATTCAGCCACATCCATGCAATACATTTTGTTAAAGATGCTAAGTCTGGATTTTTTGGCTAAAAGACGCTTCAAATTTGTTAATTCCGACCAAATTTATGCTTTATTAATAAAAGTTCACAGACGTCTAGCCGTTTTAACGTGGTTAAAAGTTACCGAGCTAAAAAAAATTCTGTTTGATGAGGCAACAATAAGTGACAATTCAAAGAAGCAAATTCTGTGACAGGGATGATAAATATTGCGTAGTATAACCAAATGTAGTGAATGTCATTTATTAGTCAAATCTTATCTTCCCCAATATTTTGCGTGTCTGTTTGTTAACATGTATGCAGGATAACTCTCGAAGCTGTGGATAAATGTTTATGATATTTAGTATGTTGATGCCTGTAGCTTGTAAGGTACGGCCGCATTCATGATTTCTAATCTGTCTCAACATGCTATAGGCATGAATTTCGCTCTTGCGGTCGTAAAGTAGTGGCGTTAAGACGCCAGACACCTTTGTGCCTCAATGCAAAACGGATGTATTGTTTTTGGTCTCTCTCTCTCTCTCTCTGTGTGTGTGTGTGTGTGTGTGTGTTTGTAAATAATTGTAGTCAGTTATCAACTTATAATAAGAAAGCCTTTATATGTTGTCATGGTATTTGGTATGCATGTCGGTCGAAAGACAAAAATGGTAAAATTTTGGCCTCCTGGCCTTGCTACTGAAGCAGGATTTCCTATTTATTGTATCTTTTGTCCTTAACATGCTTTAGACCTGATTTTTTGGTGGCTGATAGCTTTTAATGGAGGAAAAAAATAATAACAATTTACGTGATTTAATGGTAGTATAATGCTAAGCAGCTAAATTGTATAATCAATGAGGAAATATATCGCGTCCCGTTAGAATTCTGTAATAGAACTTTCAAACGTGTGACGTTTTTTCAAACATTAACAGCTACCAATTATGCAAGTGTTGACATATTTTTCTAGTTTTAAGGTATAGACCCAGTGCATATCGTTCCTGAGTATTTGTTTCGAATTGTCTTAATTATGGCTAGTTTTTTTTTTGTCCAAAACTATTTCTAATGGTCTAAGAAAAAGTTTTTTAACATATGGTAACGGGCATTAAGTGCAATTTTAACAGAAACATATGTTAAAAGTCATAAACGCAAAAAAAATGTGTTATAAGCTTTCAATGTTTTAAAGCAGAACCTTTTTAAGCATTGAATTTTTTTCATAATTCAATTTTCGTACACGATATATACTGGTATGAAAATCAGTGAAAATGCTTATGCCAGAAATTTGGAAAATGAATATGGACTCTATACGTTTTTACTCTAGCTGTTAAAAGTAATTTTTGACGTCAACCAAAATTGTACAGACATGTTTTAAGATGACAGGGATTAAAAATGTTGTACATGTTCTACAGACATTGTGTTCCCAATGATATTATCTAGGCTACAGCAGGTGCTCGTGTATATGTAACATCTTATTCCAAAGACTTAGAATCATAATTGTAGTACTAATGACCTTCTGGAATCCACGAAAAATAACAACTAAGGTTATGTCTTTTTTTGTTCAAATTGATCACATTTTATTACAAAGTTGAACTCTTACAGAAATGTTCTACCACTTGTTTAAAAAGCTTACAACATTTTCCGTATTCAGACTTGCTCCTTTTTTTCTCCATCTTATTCTCTTTTGATCCCTTGGGTGATTAGCTTGCACGGGGGGCGGGGGTTCCACTAAGTACCAAACCAAAAAGTGTGGTACTAAGCTTATGCAAATGACTTTTAGTACCACACTTTTTGTTTCGATAGTACCTCACCTTTCTGCACTATAGGGATATAGACACGGAAAATAAAGGGCTCTCATTGGCTGAGGGATAGTGGCCATTTTCTAACTACGAGTTGATAAAAAAACGACAGTGTTCTGAAATCCACAGGTGTACCAAAACCAATCAACAAATGAAGGAGCAATGGAAACTAATTATTGAAATATCGCGTCACGGGACGAAAGACATGCATTGTTTAATAGCACATATCAAGTAATAAAAATATGCAAAAAAACTAGAATATATATAGGTATCGAACAACTGTATAAGACAGGCCAAAATACTAAGAGCATATATACAGTATGTTGGTATTACTTAATACACAACAAAACAATTATAAGTTACATACATATAATGTAAATAGGACAGTAATCCAAACAAATACTGTAATGAACATGCCTATATCTTTTAATAATATGTTATGTATCCTTTGTCTACTGCTTTAGACAGTTCATACTGTAAAGCTACTGCATAATGTAATACATGACTGTGAAGTTCTGAATCTCCCTGTGTTCCAATGATGAATGCAAAATAGTACATGCATATGTTTTTAGAAAAAAAGGTATAAATTACTTTTATTCAACTCGGACCCTACATGACCAGACATCGGCTTGTTTTTATATTGATCGTAAAGTTCCCTCTTTTCACAATAGGGCTAGTTTAAAAGCTATATACAGATTACTATAGCTACTACTACTACAGTAACTACTACTACTACCACCACTACTACTACTATTACCGCTATTACTACTCAGAGGAGAGGTAACATATTAGAAAGAACTCAGAACGACAATCCGGTCTTATTATTAGGACACAAATGCATTTTCTGTGCATATATGCAATGTCTCTTGGTTCAGTGAAGTTACCTAGTATTCCGCTGGTCGTAACAAAAATGGCAGGCTCAGTATGCATTCTTCGCATACTCGATGAAGAACCAGTTAGTCTATGCCCTTTACGTCCCCTCCCATAGTATACTCAGACTTGCTCGCCACCAAACCACGTATCTGCAGTACATACAACGGCTCCTCGGAGATTGCAACGGCTATGTTCTACCAAAGCAGATTTCCAACCTTGCCGGAAACAGAATGGACTGGAAAAAATCTCACAGTCGCCTGCAACTAGCAGCCGACAGAATAAGAAGAAGAGTATGCAGAAAGTGAATATAATGGAAAAAGTTTCCCTGCCCTTTGTAAGAATTACATTGAACAGCGGACCGTGGTTAATTACCAGACTGTGTGGACTGCAACCCTTTAAATAGCACGCAATAATCTACCTGGGATTCGAGCACACAACCCTTTGATCCTGAGGTATGCTGCATGTTTACTACCGGGTGGAGGTACGGCGTGCGTGCTATGGCATGATACAAGCTGTGAAAATTCTTTTTTTTTAATATGACGGCGGGGTTGTGACGTAAGCAGTTGCCTTGCACAAAATAGTATATATACATCGTACCGACAGATGCGACATGCAAGACTTTGTTTAGAATCAGAATGACGGGCTTTGTTTACAAACCTGTGCTTGTTTTTCAATACATGTACATCAACACATCTGTATATGACAGTTCATTTACAGCCACCTTTGTATATGAACAGTCATTATTTTTATGCATAGACCTAAGTATAATACATAGGGCGTCTTAGCGCTCGAAAAACAAATATTATGTGACCATTTTAATATACGGCAAGAAAATGAGAGTTACTACGCTTCTTAAAAATAAGAGGAAGATGAATTCATATTAACTACATGTATGGCTGGTACACATTGCAAAATATAGAACGGGGTGCTGTTCGACGACTTTGGATGATTTTTAAATCTAAACGTATTTTATCGAGTAACACTTTGAAAGAAGTAAAACGCTTCACATACACAGAGATCACGATGAGCTTAGTATGCGCATTACTGTCTCTTCCACTAAAATGCAGTAAGATTTGTTCAAAATTAATGTAACGAGGATTACATACCAGCTTCAGAAACAGGGTTGGTAGGGTGATCCTAGGGTGCATTTTTTACACATTTACCGGATGTGAACTGCACGAAAACGAACATTTGTATTTGGTTTTATATTAATTTAATTATGTTGTAGTATCAATTTCATGTAGTATGTTGTAGTATTAAAGTCATTTTGGACCTTTACTGTATATTTTGTTATACTATTATCATACTATTGTTATATTCATAGAAGTCCAATGGGCCCTTTGACAGCCACCCAGGATGCTATATGCGTTTTTTTTGGAAAACATTATTCAATGATACATCGAAACATATCATTAATAAAGTGTGGTATCGTCATGTGAACGCAGAAGTAAATTTATTTGATCAGTAATAAATTTTTGCAAAAGCTTCTACTCTTGGAAGTTTAAAAAATGTGTGAAAGACTCCTCGAAAAATACTAGAATATGACCTGGTAATTGTAAACTGTAAACTGTGACATCCAATGGTGTTTTCATATTGATATAATAATGAGTGATAAATCAATATTCATGTTATTGATCACTAATGCTAAGAGGAAATTTATGTTATTAACGACATAAGTCATGAAAGGGTCATGGGACATTGTTATAGATGATAGACGTAGAATCCAGAAACAGGCCTGTAGAATCATGTTGGGTAAAAGCTACCGCTCGTACTCTGAGGCCCTGCTAACACTTAACCTTCAACATCTGTCTGAACGCAGACTGACCCTGAGTCAGGTCATTGCCCTCTCAGCTACGAAATCTAGGCACACACCCCTGGCGGCTACCTCCAGTTAGCAACCACTCTCACAACATGCATCTAAGGCCGTGTTTAAACGGAATCACCCAAGGCGGTTTACATGTGGTTTACCCCGAAGCCGGTTTCAAGTGGCTCCATGTGAACGCTCCAAAAATTACATTGAAAGCGCCTCGAGCCCAAGCCACTTCTAGAGGTGGTTTCGAATCGGTTTCCCCGCATCGCGGTTTGCGTCTGAACGCATTGTGATTTCAATGTAACTTCGCCTGGTCATGGATTACGGGGTGATATTTCGTTATTCATATGCAGTACCAATTTTTACGTGGCAGCAACTTAAAGTGCAGTAATGGTCAAATAATGTGTCCGTTCCAGGGCGAGCTTCGCCGCCTCTGGCGGGACCGCGTCGGCATTCGGCTGAGATACGCTGGGAGGGGGGCATCAGCAAGCGGGTCGTTGACATCTGACATTAATAACACGCCACCTTGCGTGTTTTCATCAAACAACAATAAATGTAGCTCAAGTGAATTGTGATCGGACACGGTTTCACCAGATGTGAGGAATGTGAGTTACCCGAATCGCGGTTTGGGTGATTCCGTTTAAACAGGGCCTAAGGCAAACACGGTTCTGCAAACTGCCTACTGGGACAAAGAGATATTTAAGTAGCCCCGTTTCCACTGTGCTAAATATTCTGAATACCCCATAAGCACATATGTTACGTTTTATCTTATTTGTTTACTATATAATAATATGCTATTATTGTTAAGTAATATTAATGTAATTCTTGTAAATTTCAACATGAAATCTGTATTTGTCTACTGCATAAGCGATGCTATGTACATGCTGAGAAATACATTTTTAATATGTGTGTACACTAGATGACTAGTAATTATAAAACATGTTTAATTAGCGATTGAAAAGGCGGCAAAAGCGTTTAATTTGCTGTATTATGTATGTCTTTGCGAGAATAAACCAGTCATTCATGATAGTACCTATTAAAATAGGCGCGACTAAACCAAAACGTTTTGATGTATAAGTTTGGAGACATCTAATAAATGTCTAAGCACTGACCTCATAACTTCCGACTGTTCTGTGGCATTCTGGGTGTGCATGTGTGATAGTTGGTTTTGTGAACCAGATTGTGCCCACTCCCCTGTGTAAACTTAAAATGATAAATCCATTTATTATTGTGTCCTTTCATAATTTAGCTTTTAATTGTCTAATTGGGCCAACCACAATACAAGCGGAAGCAGACGTGTCCTTACTGGGACCTTTGTTGTTGTTGATAATAAATCCCAGAATGGAGCCTGACTTAGAGAAAATCTTGACCCAATTATCTTTTATGAACTGTAGACAACCCCTTCCTTTTGACTGGCTCCATTCTAGTAAGACAACAGACACAGAACGCAGGATCCAAGCCTTCGAAACAAAGTCCCTGCGGAGATTGCTTGGCATTTCATACCACCAGCATAAGACCAACTAATACGTCTACCAGCAAGTATACAGCCTTGTTGGCCCCCAAGAAGCAGTGATGTCAATTGTACGGCGCAGAAAGCTGCAATGGTTTGGACATCTGACCCGCCACAACAACCTAGCAAAGACCATCTTACAAGGAACGCTGGAAGGGAAGCGACGGCGAGGTAGACAGAAGAAAGTCTGGCTGGATAACATCAAGGACTGGACGTCCCTCACCGTCCCACAACTCCTGACAGCAGCCCAAGACAGGAGGACCTGGCTACATTCCTGCTGCAAGGACTGCCTTGTCCCCCCGACGACCAGTGTCGGTCATGGGACTAGGTAGGTAGGTAGGTATTCTAGTAAGTTAGTTTATTTATTTATGAAGTTTTACCACATTTGTGGAAGAATTTGCCATAACACGTGACTATCACCTGTTCAAAGATGTCAAACCTGAGACCAGACTGTAAGGTTTGAACCACTCACACCGGGAAGGTCCCCTACTCTTTGTGGTGGGTCCTTAAACGTGCGTGGTGTGTGGCTCTCCCACATTATGACGGGACCTCCATTTAACTTCCTATCCAAAGGACATCCCTAACCAAAGCTAGGTACTCATTTTCACCTGAGTGAAGCGGGAAAGTTGTGTTAAGTGCATTTCCCAAGGGAACAAGTTCGGTGACAAGGTGGGGTTGGAACCGGGGACCTCTTGGCTCTGAGACGAACACGCTACGCCACGCAACCACACTTAGTCTGGCACATCTGGGCCCAGATGTTGTACTAGACTGTTTCTCCATCCTGTACAGGGCCTTCTACAGTGAAAAACGAGGATTCTGTGGCTTTGATAACTAGAGTCCAGGGTTATGATTAATTAGAAGATAATTCAGAAGATGGGGCGGATGGAGGTTCGTGCGTCTGGCCTTCTCCACGCAGGAGTAGGATTATGCTAATTGGTAGTTTCCGTCAGGTGGGTGCAATTCATTGATACTGCGCCTGGTGGCGCTGTAACCCTATGAATAGTCTATCAAGTTTGACTCGTCCCGTGTCCTTGAGTGTTTGCAAGTATGCAACATGACACAAGAACATCTTTAAAATTATGGCGAAGGATGTACAAATGAATGTAGCCTAACTGTCCTGTCGCAAAGAGACCCTCTTACGGTGGGCGGACTAATCTACAATAATGTCGCCAGAACAGACTACAGGAAAATGCCTCCGAACTAACAGTTTTCAGATTCTATCAAGCGAGAGGCAAACGAATTACAGAGATTTCCGGCGGTTGGTATCAAAAGTATCGAATAGGTCGATACATGTGTATTACTAGTAGTATACGTCTCGGCTAAGACAGAAGCATTGTGATATAAAGTACAGTGTGATATAAAGAGAATGCGTTTTTACTCATGAGTGAGTGAGTACATGCAGTGACAAAATTCACGGATAAGTGAGTTCCCTTTTGTGTACACATGTCGAGTTTGTTCTATTATTACGACTTGAATCGTTGTCAGAAACCGAGGTAGGTGACCGAAAAAACGTGCAGCAAGGACTTTCCATACAACTTCACTGAGGGTGGCATTACGTTAAGAGCACTTCGATTACATGGACAATACATACAGTTGGTTTTCTTGACACACAAAAAAAATCATATCGCCATCGGTACTATAAGAAGAAGAAGAAGGTCTCCCGTGCTCTTGCCCGAGCGTAGGGTGGTGCCCATCTCCATTTCGTAGCCCTTGGGCGACACACAATTGTGCAATGCACTACAGCAGGGGGCTGGTCCGCTGGTAGAGCTGTGTGTTTGACCTTCCCACACTCTTTCTCATATGTGCTGAGTGCTAAGCAGAGACAGAAGTGTGTACCGTTTTTAAAGTCTTTGGTATGACCCGACCGGGGTTTGAATCATGACCTCCCGGTTACAAAGTGAGCACTCTACCAATTGAGCTATTGCACTACAGGCAGAAATCAATTTCTGTACAGCTTTCACTGAGGGGCAAATTAAACACACGTCGTCTGTGTCAAACAGGTGATTCACAGTGAATCTTCCAATAAAACAACCAACATAAGCGGCGTTTAACTTGGCACAATTGTTTCTCGAATTTGCGGATATATCCACTATTTTTTCTAATACCGCCATTGCATTCTAATTTCGTCGTTCCTGGAGTTTTACACCTTGTCCGAAGTTGTCTTAACTTGTCTGTATATGCAAATACGTATGTTAACCAGTGTACTTTTATAATTACTTTGTTCCTTAATTAAGTGTAAACCTGTCAAACCGGCTTTACCGTTCCCTCAGTAGCTACATAAATGACTTGGCCTGTCTGATTCTGTTATTTCCGGCTCGGAAGACGCGATAATCGACGTTGTCCTTGAGATATCCAGTCCTGCAGTCTCTTCGTATGAAGCGATACATTTCGGTAAGTACCTTACAGTCGCCTTTCTGTATTAAGATATTGAAGGTGCACGGGGATGGGTTCAAAGCTCCTTGTTTAGCCAAATCATAAAGTTCAGAAGGTATTTAATTAAGGGTTAATGACCTTCACATGCTGAATAGAACATAGTTCCATCTGGAGTCGCCTGAGGTCACTGGGTAGAGTTCACGTCCTATGTCACGTCCTATCTAGGTCACAGGCAGGGAACAGGTGTTCTTATGGGAGTCACCCGAGGTCATTCGAACACAACTCAAATTATTTTTGGATTTTTTAGAACTAGAGCCGTGTTCTATTGGGTCACCTGAGGTCATATGCGGGTGATTATTGGGTTGTTTAATGTATGGATTGGGATGAATAAATACACGATTTTGACTCTATTTGTAACATTACGGCGTCATAAGGAATGTGGAATGGAGCCTTCTGATTGGTCAACGTCACCCGGCTAAATGATAATTTGGGATAAAACCCAGACCTCACTCTAGTTGGTACGCGTGGTGAGATCTTCATTGTGTTTCAGGGTTCGATTCTACTTTTAAGTATCATCGTCCGATACTACAAACTGTACAATCTAAAAAAAAACGTTTTAAATCGTTTATTTTCATTTTATTGTACTTGCTGTTAGCCTACCTACAAAAACCTGCAGTAAACTTTCTGTATTGCAGAAAGTTTTAATCTACATAGTTTTGTGGTGAAAAAAAGCGCTTACTTAATAATGAGTTATAACAGATAAAGTGAGCGTTTACTGTCTTTAACATGTCATCTATTTGGCATCTTGTAGCAGGGGTTAAGCTACAGGCCATAAGGTTTTTTAGCACCTTGATAGAGTCGCAACATGTTTTCTTTAACCCTAAACAGTACACCTGGGGTCCGCGCGGACCCCAGCACTATATATTCTGTAGTATCTTTTTTGTTTCTAAAGATTTTTTTCTGAAATTTTAGGTAATTGTCACCCACAAAGTTGTCTCTCAATACAGTGCACAAAACTCCGTTTCTACCATTTATAAAAAAAATTATATCTGATTTCCTTTTGGGGTCCGCGCGGACCCCAGCCGGCTTTCGATCATAATGGATACACTGGCGTTCTTATACATTACCTTATTTCCGTTTTTATATGTTTTTATGCACTCATCTTATGTCTACCAAGTTTTCAGAGAATGGTGTAGTAATAGAATTAAATTTTAATAACTTTGGTGTAATTATGACGTCATATGACGTCAGAGCTAATAATATAGTCCGCCATATTGGATTTTGACCAATGACGTCATCAAATTAGCATATTCTATGCATATTAAATGATTTAACTTATATTTAATTATGTAAGATGTTATTATGTTGGAAAAGAAGTGTAATTTTATATAAAACTCAGAAATTTTTTATGTTTAAACCAAAATTACTTCTATTTTTAAAAATAGAAACCCGTTGTCATGGCAACACAAAAAAAACATCAACTTACTAGTATCAAACTAATATGAACTTTTTTCCAGAGACATTTTAGGGAAGGTCTCCAAATTTGATACTTCTAGCGCAAGCCGTTTAGCCGCTATCTGAGATCAAAGTTGGGCCTCAAAAGCCCATTCAGTCTGAAATTGGTTTAAAAATCGGGTATTTCTTCTTGTCTTCTTTTCTTCACCAAAAAATAGAAAAAGTTCAAAATGTATGATATCTGTTTGTAATGTGGACACAGAGGTTCCCACATCAGTTTGCAAAACAATTGAGCTGGTAGCATGTTGATAATTTCTAAAAATTAGCAAAAAACTGCTCTGGGGTCCGCGCGGACCCCAGGTGTACAGATTAATCAGTCCGGGAAGGTGTACTGTTGAGGGTTAAAAAAATACTAGGCTCGCCAGGTCTATATAGTCCTAGTTTAGAAAAGAGCAAAGTGGATCATTGTCTGCAGAAGTGTTTGTCCTACTGTTACGAGGCATCGCTAGAGTGATTCAATATCGTATATAGAAGAAGTAGAAGTAGAAAACATAATATGTCACTCAGTGTTCTAGCCAGGCCTTTTAGCATCGGGGCCCCTATGCTATGATTTTGAATTCCTATTCTATAATTTTGACCTCTATGTTGTCTTTCAACCAACATAGGGGTGTTTGGGGAGGAAGAAACCCCATAAATCTTGCAAAAATATGAAAATATAACTTTAGAATGAAGCTATAGCAAAGGGAAAACCTAACTTCACCAAATCTGTTCCTCATTAAACAAGAGATAGTGTCTCGGGGGGTTATGAGTTTCAAAATATTTTCAATGTGCGATTTGCACCACGGAATTTGCTCTTCTGTACCTGCACCATATGTTATGAAAAAAATCCATGCTAGAACACTGATGTCACTGATATGTAAATGAGAATAAGGTCTTCCCTATTGTAAGAAAATATGAACAACACGATGAGATTATTTAGACTTGTATTCCGTGCTTTCGTGTGACTATGTTCTTCTTTTTATTCATAACCTCTCTTTTTTTACACAGCAGATTGAGCATCACAGATAGCAGCTGAAGTCCATTTAAAACAACACTCCACAATCAACATGGCGACCAGTTTCGCTAACACTGGCGATAGACTAATGGAGTCTAATAGTTCAAAAACGGGAAACGAAACGAAAAAAAAGCAACAAAAATGTGAGATGTGCAAAAAGGAGTTCAGCAGACCTGAAGACCTGACCACACACATACGGACTCATCACACATGTGACCAGTGTGGCAAAACGTTCTTTAGGCCCAGCTATCTGAAGGAACACATGCGGCTTCACACTGGTGAGAAACCGTACAAGTGTAAGACGTGTGACAAGAGCTTCACTTTTCTGATTAGTCTAAAGGAACACACACGAACTCACACTGGCGAGAAACCGTGCAAATGTGAAGAATGCAGCATGGAGTGCCGTCGGTTGGTTGATCTGAAGAGGCACATGCGGACTCACACTGGTGAGAAACCCTACAGGTGTGAGGAGTGTGGCAGCCAGTTTAGACAACTACAAGGTCTGAAGCAACACATACACACTCACACTGGGGAGAAGCCGTACAGGTGTGAGATCTGCGGTAGTCACCTCAGTCAGCTGGCTAATCTGACGACCCATATGCGGACTCACACTGGAGAGAAACCGTTTAGATGCGAAGAGTGCAGCAGACAGTTCAGTCGACTTGACCACTTGAAGACTCACATGCGGACTCACACCGGTGAAAAACCTTACGAATGTGAGGAGTGCGGCAAAGGGTTCTGTCGACCTGATGTTCTAAAAAAGCACGTATTAAGGACTCACACTGATGAGAAAACCTTACAGATGTGAGGAGTGTGGCAAACAGTTCTCATATTCAACTACACAAGAGGACTCACACTGGTGAGAAACCGTACAAGCACTTTAGTCAGCTGAGTAATCTGGCGACCCATATGCGGACTCACACTTAAAACGAGGAAAAGTCTGATCGAAACATGTTTACGTAAACGTTAGGTCAATTTTCTTATCATTTCATTTTTATCTATTTACCCAGGGTCAGTATATCGCCATGTTGGCGTTTTTCAAAGCTCCCTGCACAAAACACGCATAATACAGTATAATAAAATGAAATGTATGAACTAACTTAAGTACACTCATGTAGTCATAGTAATAAAACTATTGAAACGTCACGTCAAATTAATGACTAATCAAGCGTTAGGTCAAATAATCTATGTAATTGGTTAAAATATGTAATCGATATTAACAGTGATGCTTTCTGGTGAAATGCTGGTGTTGGTTGTGCTTTAATATCTGCTTAAAGATTTAATTTCGTGAAGTGTTTTTAGGTTATAAAAGTATTTGAAGGGGAATGGAGAATGTACAGTAGATGAAGGGAAACATGTCTTTAATTCTTTGCCTCAATAAGTCGACGCGTTTGACACAACAAAAAATAATATATCATTTGATATGAAATGCTCTGTGTATTCAGTAATTTGTGAAGCTTCCTAATTACTGACGTTTCCTAATGAAGGCATTTTTTTCGCACGCCCGAATCCGCAGAATAATTATTGTGAATCAGTATTGTGTTGTAAGCCCACGCGCATTGTACTGTATTGTTTTTTTTTCTATGTACATTAACATGTACTTAAAAATGTGCCTTTCAAGTCACCATTTAATATATATAATGTATTATCCTAGGAACTGTAGTGCTATATGTATCAAATAGGTGTCGATTTTGCATTGACGCTGCTTCTTCATTGATTACTCACATCTCACGAATCCATATAGACATAAGAAGGGGAGTAGATGTTATCATTGTTATATAATGGATAGGATTGTGATGTACGTACTTTAACCCTACCTAAAACCGGGCTTTTTTGACGAGGTGGGGGGACGGGGGGGGGGTCTTTGACCCCCCCCCTCAGAACTCGCGAACGGTATGTCGTATGACCACCAAATTTTCAGAGGATGGTTTACAAGTAAAAATTTATCATATGTACAATTTTTATGTCATTATGACGTAATATGACGTCATTATGACGTCATTAATGTGATTTTATTGGCCAAAACCGTCTAGATAGGTTTTTCCCTGAAAACTAAA